AAAGAGACATGGTTTATACTTTCTAAATGCAAAACCTTTATTGGGTCTTTCAGCAGCAGTTATAAATAATGAATTTAATCTTGCAAAATTGTGGCATTGTAGAGTTGGTCACATTGGTGAAAAAGGTTTAAAGACTTTACAAAATAAAGGTGTATTTGGAAAATCAAATATTGGTGATTTGTCTAAATGTGAACAATGTTTGATTGGAAAGCAAGTTAAGTTACCTTTTTCCCACTAGTACTCATAAATCAAAGCAAATTCTAGAATACTTACATTCTAATTTGTGGGGCCCTGCATCCACCCCTACATTGTCTGGTTACAAGTATTACTTGCTAATTATTGATGATTTTTCAAGAAAAATTTGGGTATTTCTTTCGAAAGCTAAAGATAAAATATTTGCTACATTTAAAGATTGGAAAACCCAAATTGAAAATCAAAGTAATTAGAAAATCAAAACCTTGAGAACCGACAATGGTCTAGAATTTTGCAATTATGAGTTTAATGAGTTTTGCAAGTTGCTTGGCATTTTAAGACATAGAAATGTGACCTATACACCCCAACAAAATGGCATTGCAGAAAGAATGAATAGAACTTTGCTGAATAAAGTTAGATGCATGCTTTTAAGTTCTGGCTTGCCCAAATTATTTTGGGGTGAAGCTGTTAAAACTGCTGTATATTTGATTAATAGAAGTCCTACAAGTGCTTTAAATTTTGATGTGCTTGAATCTGTGTGGACACAAAAGCCTGTGAACTATTCTTACTTGAAAACATTTGGTTGTGTTGCATATGCTCATCAAAACATATGGAAACTTGAACCTAGATCCCTTAAATGTGTGTTTTTAGGTTATGCTGAAAATGTTAAAGGATATAGGCTGTGGATTTATAGGGAAAAAGGTTACAGGGTTATTATAAAAAGAGATGTCGTCTTTAATGAGTCATGTATGCCATGTTTGGAATGGAAAGAGAGAAATTTGACTGAAAATGATGTCCAAATTGAGGTGGAGCCTATTAAAATTGATAATACCAGTTCTGTCCCCCTAGAAACAGCAACTATTGAGGCTGACCAGAATGAAAACGAGCCTAATTTGGCTGAACCTGAGCAGTATAATGATGATATTACACCTCTAGATGAATACCAGCTCACTAGAGATAGGGATAGGAGGCAAATTAAACCACCGGCTAGGTTCAATAGTGATGACTTTGTGTCTTTGTTCACTTATCAAGAAGAAATTGAATCTGAACCTAGTTCCTATCATGAAGCCTTGAGATCTAAAAATTCTAAGCGGTGGTTGAGTGTTATGGAAGAAGAAATGTCTTCCTTATACAAGAATGAAACTTGGGAATTGGTTGACAAACCTAAGGATAAGAAACTAGTTGATTGCAAGTGGATTAATAAGATAAAGGAAGGAGAAGGTGGAACTAACAATGTTAGATACAAGGCTAGGATTGTTGCCAAGGGTTTCACACAAAAGGAGGGTGTGGACTATGATGAGATTTTTTCCCCCGTTGTTAAATATACAACTATAAGCTGTATTCTTGCTTTGGTTGTGCAATTTAAGTGGAAACTTGATCAACTAGATGTAAAAACTGCATTCTTGTATGGTGAATTGGATGAAGTGATCTACATGAGAGAACCTCTAGGATTTATTCAAGGAAATCCTGAAAAAACTGTGTGTTTGTTGAAAAAATCATTATATGGAGTAAAACAAGCTCCAAGACAATGGTATAAAAGATTTGATTCATTTGTCTTGAAACTTGGGTTTAGTAGAAACAATTATGATACATGTCTTTATTGTAAAGGAAGTGAAGGTAAATATTCATTGTATCTTGTACTTTATGTTGATGATATGCTTCTTGCTAGTGCTAATAAATCTGAAATTGATGATATCAAACACATTAAAATCAGAATTTGAAATGAAGGATCTTGGTCCCATTAAGAAAATACTTGGCATCCAAATTATTAGAGATGAGAAATTTGATTGCTTGTTCTTATGTCAACTAGATTATGTGAATGAGATCCTAAAGAGATTTAATATGTTTGATTGTAAACCTGTGACTTTACCCCTTGCTAATCACTTTATATTAACATCTGATTCATGTCCTAAAACTGAAGATGAACTTGAAAGAATGTCTAATATACCTTATGCTAATGCTATTGGTTCAGTAATATACTTAATGATTTGTATCAGACCTGATTTGGCTTTTAGTATTAGTGTTTTAAGTAGATTTATGGGGAATCCTGGTGAAACTCATTGGGAAGCTTTGAAGTAGTTGTTGAGATACTTAAAGGGTTTATCTAACTTGGGTTTGATGTTTAAAATGGACAAAGAGGGGGTAATTTTAAAGGGTTATACAGATTCTGATTTTGCTGGAAATAGAGACAATAGAAAATCAACTTCATCTTATTTTTACACTTTGTGGGTACTGTGATAAGTTGGAAATCTCAGTTACAAAAAATTGTTGCTCTATCTTCCACGGAGGCTGAATATATTGCTGCCACTGATGCCATTAAAGAAGGTATATGGCTGCATGGTTTGTTGAATGAACTTGGTTTTGTAGACACTAATCCAATATTATATTTTGACAACCAAAGTGCAATCCATTTGAGTAAGAATCTCATGTTCCATGATAGAACGAAGCATGTTGATGTAAAATACCATTTTATAAGGGATATTATTTCAAAGGGGTTGCTGAAAATTAATAAAATACCTATTTTGTATAATACATCTGATATGGGAACTAAAGTGATACCTTTATATAAGTTTCAAAACTATTTAAAGATGTTATCTATTGATTCTTTTCATTGATTGTACAGATACAAAGAGCAAATGAAGTTATAAATGTTGGTGAAACTCCTGGATGCATTATAGGTTCAAATTTTGGAAGAAGGGTGGAGATTGTTGAGAAAAATATAAAAGTGTTCAAAAAATTTTAAAAGAAAAGAAACGTGTTTTTCCTTTTTGACCATTGGATATTCTACCTAAAAAGATACACATTAAATGAGGCAAAGACTTTTTCTTCCATAAATTACTCTCTCTCTCTCACGTGCACTTTGAAGAAAAGAAAAGTCTCTCTCTCTTCTTTCACTTCACTCTCTTCTCTGTTACGAAAATTCCCTCTTATTGAGTGATTAGGATTTGGATTCTTGATGGTTTTTTGTTGAAAAATTACCAGAAAACTCAAGTAATACAATAGATACATACATTCCTCCGTTGAGCACGATTTATTCTTTTTTTATGTGTCTTATGCGAAGTGATTTTAGAGGAGCAGTTTGATTTTTTGGGGATCTCGATTGTTTCCTTTGTGGAACGTGACTTGCTGTATAATAAACATTTGAATCTAAGGGTGTGTTTGATTACATTTATTTTCCATGGAAAATATCAGTTTTCCACCCAAATTCCTACTTTGAGTGTTTGATTGTTATTTTTTTCCATGGAAAACATTTTCCAACTTTTGAAAATATGTCTAATTTTCCTTGTTTTTAAGGAAAATATTTTTCTTGGGTAGAGGTGGTTTTTATTTTCCACAAAAGATGGAAAATATTTTCTTTTCTAGGTGAAATTTTCCATGCCAATCAAACATACTCTAAGTGATTTGAGAGTGGGCAGCTCGGAGGGCAAAAATCTGTGTTGGTTGATCTTTGTGATCAAGATTGATTCCTATGGTTAGTAGTGTTTGCTATTGTTGTTCTAGCAAAGATAAGTCCTGTACTTGGTTCTTTGTTGTAAATTGCTAGAACATTATCGTAATTTGCTGCCTATTTTTGGGGCTTTATAGTGCAACCGAGATTTATCCATTTTTAATGGATGCTCAACAAGGGATTAGGCGTTAAAAGTGGTCGCCGAACCTTTGGGGCTTTAGCCGAAAAATCCTTGTGTTCATTTTTATTTCCTATACTTTATTTTCAGTTTTTGATTGTGTTTTTGGAATCTTGGTTAATATTCGTATCCCTCGATTTTTCAATATTAAATTCTTATGCATTTCATTTGACTATTCCATAAAGCTAACTGATTGTGTCTAAGTTTATATATAGACTCGTTAACATTAAACAATAGACAAATCATGTTGAAGATCAAATTGACTCGGTTTATTTAAAAGGTAAAAATGTCAACCTTTTGCAAGTTAACAAGACACGCAATTTATTTTATTATCTTAGGCAAACCCTAACTTACCTTTAAAAATGAATGATGCAATTTAGATGATGAGACATATCCAAGAAGAGAATACCTAGTTTTTGACTACACTAAAATATCACAGTGACTCCAGACATAGAGATATGAGTTCGAACAATTGATAAATTTTACGAGTCGATTCCTAGTATTTGCTCTGTTTACAAATCATGCACACGATAACCATTATTAAAGGCGAGCTGCGTGCTTGATGATGCATTTAACGTCCAACATTTAAATTGCCAACAACGACCAATGATAATCATAAGAGAGGCAGCTTTGACACGATAAGAAGAAATGAAGACCAACAAAGGAGAGAAAATTGTATATGCTTGTTGTGTATTATTACAATATAAATTGTAGGATATTATAGGACAAGTTCCAATTATATTGCTTCAACTGATAATAATATCTTTATGTTTAGTATAGTGGATTCTCTAGATTGAGAAAGATAAAAATAATTGTTAATTTATTTTGTTCAATCTAACATAACAGAAATACAGTGGTCAAATTTTTAATTTAATAATCTCACTTGATTTATAGACTCATTCATCAGGCTGTCAATAAGTTGAACTGAAATGCAAATATAA